TTCAAGGGGTTTCCCTAAACTTCAGGGGTATTTCATGAAATTAACCCTATAAACTTAGCAGTACTCTCAAACCTCTATAAATGTTGCTCATGTTGCGGCAAGTGTTAAAAATCACCTACACGTGTAGTAATGCTTATATCTGAACAAATTTTGACCTGCATTAGTTTCTTCCCCAATTCATTTCTCCTAAAAAAACTTGTGTTAATTAGTAAATAAAAGTTGCTTAGATCCCCCTTCGTTCCAAGTAGCGATTGTTCTCATTCGAAATCATCGTTGAAGAAATATGATCAAGAATACGGGTAAGTTTTTCTTGCCTAACATAATATATTATATTGGTACTTTACTTCTAAACAAATTCATAAACAAATTGACATTCTTAGGCAGATTCAAATAATTTCTAAGTTTGAAAGAAATTTTGTTACTCTCAATTTTAGAAAATTTTTAATTTATATGCAAATTTGATATTTTCCTTTTTAATCAATCTTAAAATCTTTATTAATGTAGTCTCTCTAATTTAAGAAAGTTATTTTTCATATTTATTATAAAGAAAATATATTATTAATTTCGCACAATCATTTTATTTATAAAATCAATAATGCGTAATCAACAACTTTAAATCCTATAGTAAAACCTTCAACTGCTCCATGAGAATCTGGTTGCCCCTCATCTGAAGCAAGGTAATTGAATTAATGGGAATTATGCTGATTTTTACCCAATTAATTAAATTCTGACTTGATTATGCTTTGTCTATGTTCTTAAAAATATAGAATAAAAGATTAATCGCTCCATGAGATATTTTTGAAATTTTATAGTGCTTATGTTTGGATACATCTTGTATAATTAAAGTTTTTTTTGACAGATCATCTAACACTATTGAGTTCCAGATGAAGACATTAGTGTCCCATCTTCTAAACCTATTTTTTTAGAAGCAAATATCCTTTTACTTGAGTAATATTTTTTTGTGTAGCAGGAAATCATTACCATTAGTGATTCTTTCGAGGAGTATTCATTTATTTCCTGTAATGATCCCACTGCTGAAATTTAGGAAAATTTTGATCTCTATTATATTGCATTTTTAGCTGGTGAATTATCAGCTGGAGGCGGGAACGGTATTTATACCTGTTCATTATGTGAAAATGGCAAAGCAAGAAAATGTAATAAGAAAAATATAACGTCTCATGCACATGGAGTTGTTTTTAATGGTTCTTCATAGCGTACATTGGCGGATATTGGCCGCGCTCACCTTGCCATTTTGAAATCTCTCAGAAGAATGAACTCTCGCCATTGAGTTAGTTTAATTTAGATATCCACTTCATGTGTAATCTTAAGGCTTTGTTTGGATACCATGTTGTTTTTCTTGTTGTGTTTTTGTAAAAAAACACCATGGTGTTGTGTTTTTCTCTTAAAGTGTTTTCAAAATACCATGTTGAGTGTTTTTGTCAACATTAGTTTGACCTATTACAACATTAGTAGTAAACATATTATTAATATATTATACATTAATTATAATAAAATATATTATAAATAAAATATTATAATATTTAGTATAGATTATAATAATATTATAAGTATTGGTATAATATAATATAATATTGTATAATGTATTATAATATTATATTGTACTTTAATGAGTTATATTATGTTATAATTATTATTATATTATAATCATTACATATTATTTTCAAATACTTATATATTAATTATTTTGGTATATCAATTTGTTATTGTTATATATTATATAATATTTTTAAAATAAAATTATTTTATTATTTCTATAATATTATACTATTATTAATATAATAATATACTATTATTAATAGAATATAGTATTATTAATAATGTTAATATTATTTTATTACTACTACATTATTAATAAATTCATATATTACAAATATTTTAATATTACATAATATATTATAGTTTCTAATATGTTAGAGTTTATTAATAATACTTTAATAATTTATGATATAAATACATATTATTATATTGTAAATATATTATTTTTACATTAACATTAGTTAGCAGTAAATTATTTTAGTATTAAAAATTATTTTACTTTATAATATATTAAATTATTTAGTGTATAATATATTAATATTTTTATATTATACTTTAATTTTATGATATAAATCAATATTATTATATTATGAATATATTATTTTTACATTATTATATTATTTTATAAGATATTTTAATTATTATATATTTATATTATTTAATAAATATTACTAATATATTTGATTAATTATAAGATAATATAGTATACTATAATAAGTATGTTGATAATAACTATATATTAATTATATTTAATATATTATGTTAGATATTATATTAACACCTCCTCAAACTCAAAACCAAAACATCAAACTTAAAACACGTAAAATGTGTTTTGAAATAAGTGTTGTGTTTTTGGTTTGATGATGATTTAGCTCAAAAAACACCATTGTTTTTAAACGCATGATGTTTTGTTTTTGGTAAAAACACCATGGAAACAAGTAAAACACCATGGTATCCAAACGGAGCCTAGGTATTAGTTTGTTAAAAATTGTTTCAGTTTAGCATATAATTTCCACTTTTCAATTATGTTATAATTTTAAGTATTTTATTTCATTTGATGATTTTAGTAGTTAATCCAGTACTTAATTTTATATTTTTATTAATATATATTTATTTATATTTGGTAATTAAGGGTTCAATGCATTATGACAATATCAAGGAAAAACTTAATTTGGATCCATTAGATGTTTTCTCTTTCATTTTCATGAGATCTCCATGTTGTCAATCTCATTGATATATGTTTTAATTTGAATTGTCGTGTTGCAATTAGCATTGCGGATGAGAATTTGTTATTAATAAATATCATTATTGGATTTAAAAGAACTATTAGTATGTTATTAATCTTAGTCATATTTTAACTCTTAATTAAAAATTCCATTAAATAAAAATTGTAAGAACAATACTATTAATAAATATCATTATTGGATTTAAAAGAACTATTAGTATGTTATTAATCTTAGTCATATTTTAACTCTCAATTAAAAATTCCATTAAATAAAAATTGTAAGGACAATACTATCATTCCGAATTTGTTCCATTTAAAAAAAGATCAAATATCAGATTAATGACCATGATAGAATCTCGATGGATTTCTATAACATAATTCACTAGTGTTCATATTTAAAAATTGGCAACATGGTAACTTTGGCTCTTTTGCTAAAATTATCAAAAAGCCAGTAGGTCATTTTGCTCTTTAATTAAAATTACCCAAAGTTAAGTAATATAAAAAAGGTAATAAGTTCTAGGTACTTAACCAGAAGTAATTTTTTATCCATTCATCGATGCTCATACTGACCCACCCTCCAAAAACCACAGAGACTCACCCCCTCCCCCAAAAAAAAAACGTGAGGCGGATCATCTATGACGTTTCTTTTTCCACCCCTGAAAAATTGATGTATCTTGAAATTTATAATTTTTTCCTTGACATCAAATTCTTTTTTAATAAAAGCACGTAATACAACATCAACCGAGTGTTGTAATTGCTTAGAATTTGTGTTAAAAAGACAACAGAAGAGTACAACCTTCATAATACTAGTTAGGGAAGATATATAAGAAGACACATCGAAGTCACAATGTAAGAATTCATAAACACGCAAGAGGGTTAATCACGTTGTGTTGCAAATAAGAGTGTCTGATTGTGATCTTAAGTATATATTCTTGGTTTAGGAATGTGTGATTTAAGATTCTGATATTATATTTTATAATATATCTTTCTTTGAACGTAACTTTTTACCAAGAGCCTAAACTCAGCATCTCTATTTTTTATTGATTATCTCTAATACACTCTTTTAAACCTTTTTCATTTTCCATTTGGTGCAGGGAGTTTTTTCAATCGTTAATTTCTTCTCTTAATGAGAATGTGTAATAAAGCAAGGTCAGGTCTTGAGCTCTTCATGCAATGAGATGAAACTTTATTTGAGCAAAGAAAATGGAAATTTAATTAGGAAAGAGTAAAAGGGAATTAGAACATGTTGTCTTTCATATAAGTGTCAAGTGTAAATCAATGACTGATTATCTTAGCAAGGTTTAGATTGATTTTAAATTGGTCAGATGTTCTAAATCAAAAGTACATGGATCTCTTAAGGGTAAAATACATTATCCTCTTAAAGGTAATGTGGTCAGAAATGAAAATTAACACTCAATTTCTAACGGATGTTAAAAAGGGCTACTTTGTAACTATAGTATGGTATGAGGACTAAGTTGAGAAAAAAGAAAGTGACGGGACCAATTTGGACATGAAGCCCTAGTACAGGGACCAACTTCGCCTTTAACATATTAGTTCTGACTTCTGTTATGCTCTTAATTAGTCACTACTAATTATAGTCATGTATGAAATTCCGGTTCCCATAACTGACTTGGTAATTCTAGATTGCCATGGGACATCCAGGAATCACCATATATTACAACTTGTCATTCATACAACACTCTGACATAGGATATCTGATATCACCTAAATTGTCTTGTTGTGGAAAACTGTAATAGTGGCTAACTCGTACACCTCTACAAAGTACAACCTCCAAAGTCATATCTGTAAAAGGGTTTTAGCTACCAAGAGATGATGAGAACAGTTTCATCATAGAATCTAGCACAGACATTATAAAGGTCGTATCTCCTTGCTTTAACTCCTCCAGGCAAAGATAAAAATGTACCCGGTATTCTTTGAAGAACCACATTCAACCAATTCCAGAAGATAAAATTCACTGACATATAGCTTGGTGATGCAGAAATAGAATATAGTGTATAGCCTACCTCATTTGCCCCTGTTGTGTCATCGAGATGGAATTCCATGTAAACATCATTTTTCCCCTGCAGCTGAGTTTGTGCAACATCGGCTAAAGAAACCTCAAAAGCTTGCTTTGATCCTACCAGAAAAGTCAGCAAGTTTCCTGCAAAAATTTAAGATGACAATGAGCAGAATACAATACACGCAACATATAGACATACAAGGATATATAATAACAAAGTCAATAAATAGATCTACAGAAAACCAAGGCAATCAGTCAATATAAGACGCTAAAGTAGCATCTACTATTGTCTAGGTAAGTAGATGAACACCACCCAGAATACATATATGAAACCAAAAAGAGAAAAAAAAAGGAAAAAAAAAAGATGCAGCTGAAGCGATACACGAGCTATCTTCCTATTGCTTTCTTATGTTTTAGTCTGTCAGACAAGACAGCTTCTCATACCAAACCATAGTGTATGTAATCCTGGGCAGTTGCTTCATGCTAGCAGCAACTACATGCCATATAAGCGGCAACTACGAGTTCATCTGGATAATTAGTTTCATGAACACTAAATTTCTAAAACAAGTTTATAAGTATCAACTCATCCTAGAAACAACGAACAAGCCCAATTTGGCACCAACTAATATTCCCTAAACTATCACTCAGCATCACCATCATCTTCAACAAGTATGACCAGCTTCCAAAAGAAATAACTTTATTTTCGTCGCCTCAATGAGGTTGGTGGATCTATGGTTTGGAGGTTGGTGGATCTAGAAAGAGGGCCAGAGATGGCTTAAAAGAGGTCCAAGAAGCTCATCGTGGCTTGGGATGTGAGCTCCAAAGAAAAAGGAAGGAAAAATAAAGTAGAATGGTGGATTTTCAGCACAATTCTGTGAATAACTCTGAATTGAACAGGTTCCGCACTTTCTATCTGCATAATTGAAGCACACAAAAGAAAAACACCCCAAAAGCCAACTTAAAGAACAGAACTAACTTGTTGTGTGATGTGTGATTAGTACTGTGTCGTAAATCGTATTATATCGTGTATCTATTATACGTGCAAGAGGCAAGTTATATGATATTTGAATATTGAACCTTACTATATTACCATAATAGGTTTTTCCCCCTACTTGTACCTTATCATAAAATATAATATGCTCACTCATTGTATGATATTCATAACTATGGTTGACCCTGAAGCTAAGTTTTTGTTCATTGTTGTTACAATCTCAGAGTACGACTATTTTGTGCTTATTTAGTTTATATCACTTTGATGTTTTATATATAAAGGTAAATTTTCAGGAGAAGTGAAATTTTCTTTTTTGTATGGAATTTGATGGATAACAAGTGAAATTTTCTTTTTTGTATGGAATTTGATGGATAACATATTTTATTGTATGGGCATATAATCTGAAATTAGATATTATTGATAGTTGACCCAATTACATTTGAAGTTAGAACATCCCTAGGACTCGGATTTCTGAGTTAGAAGTTTATTATTGCATAAAATCTCTACACAATACCTAAACCTAACTTTTCTATTGCAACTGATTTTGTTCTTTATCAATCACAAAATATTGAAATATTTATACCTTTTCCATTTTATGAGTCTATGACTGCTGATGATGTATTTTGTGTCCAATGCTTTGGTAGATACTTATTTCCGTGTTTGAATTCAATGGTTGACCTTTGCAGCTGTTGGCTCCTCATATCAAAACATATATTTCTTAAACCATCAGGTATAATGGCAATCGTTAGATTTAAGAAGAGAATTCAACTGCTGCATGCAGGTGCTGGCTAAAAGGGAAATGCCCCCTGGCTCCCGGTGCTAGTCGTGGTCATTTCGGTTAAATTACAAAAGTGTCAACTGTGACTGGTAGCCAATGATCATTTTTTTAGAAATTATACAATTGCTTTAAATTCAATAATTTAAATAATAAAACACAAAATACTCATTATACAGATATGAATAATGATAACAAAATTAGAATTCCAAAAAAAGTCTCAAGAATTTAGAATCAGAATCTTCTCAGGATCCTATTAAACGAAAGACGTAGAATTAGAATCTTAAACTAATAGGGCTTACAAAAAGAAATTAGGGTTGGCCAAAAAAACAATTTCTTCCACCTCTTACTTGGATCAAAGAAATTTACATTATACGGAACTCTATAAAATTATGTACATAGTTTGTTTTAGTTTTAAATTTAACTAACCGAATAAAAACTTTTGTACATGCGTAGCATGTACATTTCCTAGCATATCAAAACAGATTGCTAAAATTTAATCATTATTTGCTATTCTTTCATTTATGAGGCCACCAGTTTTGACGTTCCAGATCAGGTCTACCAACTGCAGGTCAGGGAATCAGGAGCATGGACTGGACTAGGCCATACTTTGGGTTGGAGGTGTGAATGGATGTTGTGTGTGAGTATTACAGTGTGGTTTCTGGTATTCTGGATGTGAGGTTGTGTGTCTGTATGACTGTATGAGTGCATGTGAGAAAAAAGAGATGAGAAATACTATATAAGATACAAGAACATACAGTATTATTTGGTAAGAACGTGAATCAGAATAGCAACATCCAAGCAAAAATGATAGGTTCATATCTAGAAACAAATCAACAACAATGTTAGTCTGCTCACCATTTATATCAACTTCTCCCCAGTTACGGCCACTCACGGAAAGTTGTTTTTCTTCTGGTGTTACTCCAAAAGTTTTCTGGATAAAATTTGTCAAGTTGCTGACATCCTATGTAGAATAGTCATCATCAATTTTAAGAAGTATAGAAAGGGGCCATAAACTAATAAGTTGGCGAATCTTAACCTCAAAATATATGAAAATTATCTGGAAACATAAATGATGACATGTAACAAAAAACCGAAAGGAAAACAAGTAGCAGATGAAAAAGACAGACTGAAATCAAGAGCCTCTATTCTATTAGCCAAGAATAGATTTTTGCACTGCAGGACTAAACAATTCTCATATCATGTCTTGATGAGCACAACATTTAGCTTAGCAAACATAAAAAATGGATCACAGAATCGAAATTATGTTGAGATATCTGCAAATTGACTGCAGAACAGAGAATTTTCAACAAGTTGGATTCCGGGCCCAGGTAAAACAAGTAGAGCATGTATACTATATAGATCAGAGTTTTGCGGTGCTATTGTCCTAACGGATTCATGCCCACTTGAAACCATATAGATACCCTTGTGACAAGCATCATATACAGCTTATTGTAACAATTCAAATTAAATATCCAAGCCTTTCAAAGTTCGAAAAAAGAATAACCACACCAGTTTTCTGGACCACAATTTGTTGTTATGCATCCCCAAACTTAAGAGGACAAGTAACAAGGTCTTTGTATTGAAAGGTAGTTAAACACCTAGTCCGGCTTTATGAGAATGATGAGGTTATACAAGTGAGTACAATCGAAGGGTAAATGCTAAGTGATATGAATATGTATCATTTGCATCTACAGCCCTCGTTTTCTCCTTGAAGCCAACAGAAAGGACTTAAATGATTACCCGCATGGGGCATAAGATATTTGTTACTTTATTGATTAGAAGTAAAAGTTTACTTGAAGCTGGTTTTAAATGCTTTTTAAACTTGGATCCTGTTTTCTAAGAAATCATTAGAAAATTGAGGTCAGTGCTTTAAGAAATCATTAGAAAATTGAGGTCCGTAACACACTACTAGAATTCATGTGTTTTGGTTCAAAATTGCCAATATTTGGTCTTGAAAAATCGTTGATCTACTATAACAACAAATAAGAGAGAGAAAAGAACAAATTAGAGTTAACACTTTTGAAGGGGGAAGTAACACCAGCAAGAAGAGAGAAAGAGAGGGGAGAGAGTGAAGAGAGGGAGGAGGTGGCAATAGATCTTTCGATCAAATTATGATCCTGTTGAATGGGTTCCCATGACAGGATTCCTGAAGCAAGCGGAGATGCACATGTGCGTGTGTGTGTGCATGGGCGGATTTAAATGGTGCCTAGAGTTGCAGTGGCACCCTGAAATTTAATAAATTGCATATAAGTCCTTGAAGAATTTACAATATGCTCCCCCACCCACCCACTCAAAACAAATTTTAAAAATTGCACCAAAATCTGTCTAGAAACACTAAATAATTTAGTAGCAAATTAAATTAGCCCATTGAAAGTAAAAGCCCATTTAAGTTTTCAACAATAAATTAATTGTTTTATTATATTATATTATATTATATTTTTAGGTAAATAGAAAGTTGTTGTT